TATTTTCATTTATTTTCTAATATTATTTTCATTTATGAAAATCAAAATGTCTTATAAGTGATGTTGGAATCCACCGTCGGCTTTCATTCACTAACTGTGTCAGACAAGTTCACTACTCCATGAACATTACAGACTTGTCTTCTAGGAGGTCTGATTTTAGAGAAATCAAAACCAAACAGGAGAAGATAGTAGAGCTTTTCCGACATTTTTTCATAAATTACTGTCTTGATGTTGGCGTTTGTGTTTAGTAGAATAATTGATAACTTTCTTATACTTTATCTGATATCATCAGGACAAACAATTTCTTTTACGTGTTCAATCATTGCAGCTAAGATTAAGAAAACTTGTTTCGACCAAGAACCGTAAAAATGTCATATCCGGCTGTTTCAGCTTTGATGTAGTGAAAGTCATGAATAAAAAGATCAACGTTAGACAAATGTCAACTTCTAAACTGAACTTTTGCTCTATTTTTAGAATATATTCACATTCCTTAGAAACGTTGTAGAAGAGTATCAACGAAACTATTGACGAAGTGCTTAACATGTGCAACAAATATATATTTTTCTATCTGTGTCCACTCAATTTTCCATTTAGAGCTACCTTCAAGTCCAAGTTCTTAGATCTTTAGTTGTTTAGAACTAGTTACACAAATGGTCCACTTCATGACTGAATATTTCCGTCGGTTATGAACACAGCTTGAGATTGATATTTGCGGTGAGTGATTTGTACATAACAAATTTTGGAAAGGTTGATTTATGTACGCAAACGTATCATAGATGATTCGTGACTGTAAGTTAGAATGCATACCTCCATGTCCATTGTATTTCGCATGAATACCTGAATACGAAAAGTAACAGAGTGTTATGGTTGATTGCCTAATAGATAATTCCTCTCCATATTATGGTCGCTAATATGCTGTATGAATACTATAGTCATGGATACTCAGATATTAGCACACGGCAACGTTGAGTCAAAAATATATCGCTCATATATTTCATAGTGATGAAATTCTATACGTATCGGTGAATGATACATCTCGAATGGATGCTCCTAGTACAGCTCTTGGTAAACAAATTATTCGAATAAAAAAAGGACAACAATTTCCAATTTAATATAATTTTACGTTTGACATATCACGGGCAACAAATTTTAATGAATTAGTGTCATTTAAATATAGTATTTCAATGATGGCAAAAATCGAAAGAAATGGGAGATTATTATATACAAATGATACACAGACACCTTCAACGTATTATCATAGTACCGAAATACCAGTAGTTAGAATTACATAAGCTAGGACTAAACTCACATACTTTGTTAACTATAAATCAGATGGTGATGTGTGGAATGCTAGACAAAGTACTGGTAAACTATACTACGATGAATCGTGAGAGTCATTACTTGCAACTGAAAACTTTGTATGAATTTAGGCTGCACAAGATGTAAATTCATCGACTCTTTTTGAAATTCCTTTTCTTGTAAAATCTTTATACTAAATATGGTCTCACTGTATATTGTAATTATTGTCTTGTGTGTAATACAAGTTTATTCCATTCGAATTGCTGATTCGCTCGGTTTTGTTAACTCGGGTTCTGATGCGTCGAAAATGATGTTCAACATTAAATAAGCCATACTTTGAGCTTTTTCATTTCAGTGAACTCGGTGCTACATACATATTAACCACTGATGAAAATATAAATATTTCCGCCGTCGGCATCACCAAAAGTCACTGATATCAGTAAGAGAAGTGAAAATTATTGCGAGGTTATAACATAGTCATTTGAAGAATATTCACAGTAAGGACAAGTATCAAGCAATTCCGTTGTACCCTCCCCCCGTCTCATAATGGGAGACCATCCCCTATTAGAAGACCACTGCCGCTTATATGACTTGAAAGCCAAATAGAAGACCATGGTCTTCTATTATGTCCGCGAAAAATATTCGAAAATATAGAGGAAATTTTCAAAAAAATTTCGCGAAAACGACATATTTTAAATCGAAGCGTATCCTGGACAACTGCGAAGATACTCGCGACAGCTAGTTTTCTATGTTTATCGTGTGAAACGATGATGTGGTTGAAGATAAAAAATGTAAATTAGCAAAAAAAAAATTAGTGAAAAAGTGTAAATTAGCCAAAACTGTGACTTATCAAGTCTTCCACTATGAAGGAAGCCTTTCTCAAAGTTGAATCTTGAGATGTTGGGTGACAAAATTAAGCTTCCTAAATTTTACCTATTGGAATGAACATGTACAATTCCATCTTCAGGGTGAAAAATGCAGAAAATAGTTATTAACCATGAAGATCGACTAGAAACCCGGTGCTAGCAAAGAATTTTTAGGAAATTGAATTTGCTACTTAACATCTAGCAGAAATGCTTCTTTCATGATGAAAATGAGATTTTAAATTTTTTTATTTACAATTTTACAATTTAAATCGATAAATTAAAATTAAATAACACTTAGAAGCCAACATACAGAAGAGAAGAGCGCAAGAATGAAAAAAACGTCTAGACAATACTCTAATCACAAACCGCACTTTCTAACAGACTTTTTTTAGCAAGAATCAAAAACTTTGCTGATTTTATCGGTAAGAAGCGATCAAACTGATAATGATAAACCGATAAATTATCGTTACCGTTGCATGCCTAGCCGAAAAACTGTCTAAAGACATTATTGTAACTATAATCAAATAACTTTTTTCGAATAGTAAAACGAATGAAAATTTTGTCATTCATATCAGTTGATGAAGCGTGTCGATTTGATCAATAATATCCTTATAACAATTATTAAAAACTTATAAAATTATCAATTTTTACCACGAAAGTTTATTTTCAGCGACCGTATATGGCGATAGTCCACGAAGTTTTGCATAAAATACTCTATAAAGACACCTTTTTAAAGCTTGTGAGCATCGAAGAGTTTTAAAAATCCTGAAGGAAAGGCTCCTAGCTACATAAATCAACATTCCTAGTATTAAAATATTTTTGAGCAGCAGTTGTCGAATCTAGCTTTGCAAGAACCACAGCAAAGAAACGAACTTTCGATTGATTTTTGATTGACGCCAGCGGTCTAAGGTTCTAAGAGAAGTTCGGCTTTTTCTACGTTTGAACAAAGATCAAAATGCATCATACAGCGTTTTTCTATAACACAACTATGCTCTTTCTCGTCACGTATAGTAAAATATGTTTGGAAGCAACTGTACAACATCACCAGTTACTTAAACTCTGTTGAAATTTCTACAGAAAATGCCTCCTAATAATAGTACACAAAGATACAAGAAAAGAAGTGCAGATAATAGAAAAATGACTTGTTCGACGTCGCTATTTAACGATCTATGAGAATTCATTATCCCATCACTATCCAAGTTTCAAAATAAACTACCGTCTGTCTTTCGCCTTGTAGTGCGTTGAGAGCGGTTTACAGCTACATTAATTGGTATGCAGAAACTTGGATGTATATAATATATAGCATTATATTGCAGCTCGTCAAGGATACACTGCGATCTGAAAAATAGTTAATATAACTCAAAATTGATCGCAGATATCACGCACAAAGCCTTCCTTTTACTTTCACACATTAACTAACCCTACTTTTAAGTTCACACTGGTCTTGACCGCCCGTTTCTCTTTTCCTGATCGATTGTCTAATTTTACTATTATTATTTAGTTTGCTTTCATTTATATATTTTTTCTCTATTCCACTCTTCCTAAAAAATCTACTATATTGTTTATACCATTCATCCGTCCACACCAGTTTCAATAATTTTTCCTAGTAACCTTGGAGAATGGCTAGTATAATTTCATAAGTTTTCCACTTAGTATGTGAAAATTTAGTTACCACTAAGCTAATAAAAACGCAGCTAAATGTAAGAGGCCAGTGATTGCTAGTCCCCAGTCCGATAGATTCTCCCTTCAGACCTGTAAAATTAGAAACGACTATATCTATATTACGTTCTGAGCTACTGAATGAAGGAACGATTGTTGCTATATAAGATGAGTCTAATTTCTATCTTCCTCCTCAACACAACATCATGTGATGAGCATAATCTGATTTGACTATTCACTTTATTCTTCGATAAAAATAGTTTATATCGTCCTTTTTATCGACAATAATAATGAAACATGTTAGAAGCTAAATTAATTGCAACGAAATGAGATGCTGGGCGGATGGTACGTTACTTTTCCTACAATTAAGGCAATGAATAGGAAAAGTGTGATACAATCAAATCAGGATGTTGAATATGCTCAAGTTATGTAGTTTCGTTCATTTTGAAATTTTAAAGATATATAAAATAAATACTAAAATTCTCAATAATAAACAGAAGCTTTTCGCATTATGCTCTTAGATTAGTATTGGTAGATTTAGATTTTGTATCACTACTCTATAAAGTTATTTTATTTCCTTATGGGTCAGAATGTACCGTCTAACTCTTATTCTTCTAACCGCGAAAGAGATGGAATCCAAAAAAAGAAATACATCTCATGCTCTTCTGCACAAAACTTTTAGGAATAGTAGTGAGAAAGTAAGAAAAGCGTATGGAATAAAAATTAGTTATCAATGATAAAGTATCCTTGTCTCTCTATTATCAGTTTCAAAGGTTATCTGTAAACAATCGAGATATTTAATGTGTGTAATTATTCACGCATCTGTTGCTAACGTTTAAAAGTTATGATCAATAATAATAGGAACATCTATTTCCAAATCACGTAATAACATTGTTTCTCTGTCCTTCTACTAATAGATACAAATAACATTTGTTTTTTTTCATTAAATCATTTTTTCTATCTACATCTATCTTCGATAAATACTATTGTTCTTCTAAACAAGCTACCCAGCACAAATCAATTTGTGTTTTTTGATACTTCTTCTTCTCTATTTCTGTCTTCAACTTACACAGCGTTTATATCTAAGGTAAAAAGAGTAAGAGAGTCTAGTGAATTTTAATTTTAGTAGTATAATTGTAGGTATAAGTGACTAAGATCATGGCGGAAGATCCAGCAATGCTCGAATCCTTACGATATCTTCGATTATTACCAGAAGAAAAAATTAAATTACAATCTCAACCATTTGATGCTAAAAAACGATGTTGGGTACCAGATGCAAAAGAAGAATTTATTGCAGGTGATATTGAAAGTACTAAAGGTGACGAAGTTACAGTTCTGAAAGAGAGTGGAGAGGTAATCATCTACAATGGATATATTTCTTAACATTAACAAAATGAATTTAAAATTTGTAGAAAGTTACAGTTAAAAAAGATACTCTTCAACAGATGAATCCACCCAAATTTGAAATGTATGATGATATGGCTAATTTAACATATTTGAATGATGCTAGTGTATTACATAATCTTCGTACAAGATATAAAAATTGGCTCATTTATGTAGGTCCCATCACTTCTTCTTATCGATTCTATATACACTGCTTTTACTATAGACTTATTCTGGATTGTTTTGTGTCGTTATTAATCCATTCAAACGATTACCAATCTATACAATGCCCGTTGTTATGATGTATCGAGGAAAAAAACCGAATGAAGTACCACCTCATCTATACGCAATCTCTGATAATGCTTATGCCAACATGTTACGAGGTAAACAGCTGTCTTAAACTCTAAATAAACTCTCAAAAACGTTTTGTTCAGAGCGTGAAAATCAATCAATGTTGATCACTGGAGAGTCTGGAGCAGGAAAAACTGAAAATACAAAAAAGGTTATTCAGTATTTTGCATTGGTTGCTGCAGCATCGGAAAAAAAAGCGGAAGATCCGGTAAGATTGTTTGAAGTCTGTTAATTCTTCAACATTAAATTCTCTCCTTTTTTAATTAGAGTGTAAAAAAGATGACATTGGAAGATCAAATTGTTTCAGCAAGCAAGTGTTTTCAGTTTGTGTCTAAAATTTAGATTAACGAATTTCCCTTTACAATATAGATCCAGTACTTGAGGCTTATGGTAACGCTAAAACAACGCGTAACAATAACTCTTCTCGATTTGTATGTATATCTATGCCTTCTCTAATGCACGATCAAGAAACAGAGTTAATATAACCTGACATGTATATGAGTTGAATGAATGTCATCCGGTAGAGGCTATACAATAAAATACTTATTAATAATAATACAAATAGATTACATCACATGCGCATGTTATATCTGTCACTGTTTAATGCTATACAGATGCGCGCAAAATTATCAGTACATCATGTGGTTTCGGACTAAATAGAATGATATGGACTTTCCATCATACTATACCTCCACGTATCCAATACGGATTTGAATGTAGAACTCATGATTGTATCATCAGAATTAAACAAAATTTTCATTTCAGTTTTGAAAAGTGTTAAAACAGAGTATGGTATCGTCAATTGTTTTTGCACAACTATCAATGCATTGCTCGTATCTTTTGAAGGAAATGTGTCCAAGTGCTGAGAAGACCCCATAATGAATAGCAGACTCTCTTCTACAATCCTGCACAAGAACATAATGTTTCGGATGAGGGACTGAGCAGACACAGCAAAAGTCAGAAAATTTCTCACATGCACTAAATGAAAGAAACATGCAAAAGCTTGTCATTTTGTTTCGTGAGTGAGTGTATTCTAATCAGATTTATTTGCGTTTGCGCATGGTATGTCCAAAAAGGTCCTGCACCTTCCGATGTCCAAGAGATTTGTCTTGGAAACCTTGGACGCTTGACGGGTAGAGTCAAATGTTCGTGGTCGGGACTACATGCTATGAAAACTTTTTTTCTAGAATATTTCCAAGAAAGTCAGTATCAGTATATCAGACATGCAAGGGTTTGATGGAAAGTCCACGCCGAGGTAATGCCTCTGTTTATTCCATACTACGTGATGTATTGATAATTTTGTGCATATCTGTGTATGTAATGTTTTGTTAATTAAAGAAATAACATTCAAAGAAGCAGTTTTCGATAATGACAGTAGTTCATTAAAAAAGTGATCTACGGTTTCCTCATATCGGATTTCACACAGATGAGAATAACCGCCAAAGTATCCTTTTCATGTAAACGTTTCTTCTTTGTCCTCGACAAAGGCGTCAGTTAAACAGAGAAATACAAGAAGGAAACAGAGGAAGCAAGCTTATTCTTCCACAGTCCTCTCACTATCACTGCACGTTGAGCACACCATTTTGGCTTTAGTTTTACTTATTATTATTTGATCACTTGGAAAAACAAACCCCAATGATACACACAAGTTTGTATTTCAAATTACTCTTTCAAATTTATTCTTTTTTGTTCGCTACTTTCTAGGGTAAATTTATTCGAATTCATTTTGGTAGTACTGGTAAAATTGCTGGTTGTGATATTGAAGTATATCTATTAGAAAAATCACGTGTCATTTTCCAGCAACCATTAGAGAGAAATTATCATATTTTTTATCAACTATGCTCAACTGCAGCAATTGATAAATATCACAGTAAGATCTCTTTCGTCCTCCTAATGAAGACCTTATTCACGCTCGCTCTTTTGGTTTCTAGAGGAGTTATTGATCAGCACAGATGCAAGTAAATACTTTTATGTTGCACAGGGAAAATTAACAATTGACGGTATCGATGATGCTGAAGAATGGAAATTAACTGAAGAAGCTTTTGACATACTTGGGTTTACTGAACTCGAAAAATTAAATTTGTTTAAATGCACAGCAGCTATAATGCATTTTGGTAATACACAATGGAAACAGAGACCAAGAGAAGAGCAAGCTGAAGCTGATGGAACTGAGGATTGTGATAAAGTTGCTCATTTATTAATGGTTGATGGTGCTGATCTCATTAAGGGTTTACTGAAACCACGTATAAAAGTAAAGTGTTAACTTTTATCTATTTATAAATAGAGAAAGCTCTCTCTGTTTACAGGTCGGTACTGAATATGTAAACAAAGGTCAAAATAAAGATCAAGTTGTTAATTCAATTGGTGCTCTATCGAAATCAATTTATGCAAGAATGTTCAGTTGGTTAGTCGAACGTGTCAATGTAACATTAGATATTAAAGCACAACGACACTTTTTCATTGGTGTATTAGATATTGCTGGTTTCGAAATTTTTGATGTAAGTTTCTTCTTGCTTTTACCAGATGAACATCTCGGTGAATTTTAGTACAATGGTTTCGAACAACTATGTATTAATTATACAAATGAACGCCTTCAACAATTTTTTAATCATCACATGTTTGTATTAGAACAAGAAGAGTACAAGAAAGAGGGTATTCAATGGGTATTTATTGATTTTGGTATGGATTTACAACAGTGTATCGATCTAATTGAAAAAGTATGCATTTCTTCTTTCGCGTTTGAACGTTCTTCTTATCGAAATATTTTAGCCCATGGGTATTCTATCGATTCTTGAAGAAGAATGTATCGTACCCAAGGCTAGTGATAAGACATTTGTTGAAAAATTATACTCAAATCACTTGGGTAAACATCCAATGTTTGGTAAACCAAAACCAGCCAAAGGAAAAGCGGAAGCTCATTTTGAAATTCATCATTATGCTGGATCAGTTGCATATACAGCTACAAGTTGGCTTGAAAAAAATAAAGATCCCATTAATACAACTGTTGCAACTCTGTTTTCAAAATCCAAAAATCCAATGTTATCTCATTTATATGCTGATGTAGCACAAGCTGAAGAAGATGGTAAGGGTGATGAACCTTCGAGAGAATGAAAGTTGAGAGAGTTTGTGTCGTGTTTCAGAGAAGAAGGGTGGTGGTGGAAAGAAAAAAGGTGGTGGTAGTATGCAGACAATTTCGGCAACTCACAGAGTATGTATCACGAACGATTTCAGATGTATGTAATTCACTCAAAATTCGATCTTCAGGAACAATTGCAAAAACTGATGAACACATTGAAGCAGACACATCCACATTTTGTTCGTTGCATTATCCCCAATGAAATTAAAACAGGAGGTAAGAATCACTGAAAGTGTTCAATTGAGCGAAAGAGGTAAAAATTCTCAAAAAAGTCAAGTTTCAACCATATTAACGCTTGATTTTGAAATATTTTAAGCTATTCTCTGCTTGTTTTGTTGACAGCCAAGTTAACATCAAGATCATACTTTTTCTAGGTGTTCTCGATTCACATTTGGTACTCCATCAGCTTCAATGTAACGGTGTACTCGAAGGTATCCGTATTTGTCGTCTTGGTTTACCAAATCGTATGATTTATCAAGAATTTAAACAACGTTATTCGATTTTGGCACCAAATGCTGTACCAAAAGGATTTGTTGATGCTAAACAAGCAACTGCTGATATTTTAAAAGATATTGCTTTAAGTGAAGAACAATATCGTATTGGTAATACAAAAATATTTTTTAAAGCTGGTGTACTTGGCTCCTTAGAAGATATGCGTGATACGGCATTAAGTGTTATCATATCTAAATTACAATCACAACTTAGAGGTTATGTTATGCGTAAAACATACAAACATATGTTAGAACAACGACTAGCACTGCAAGTTGTTCAACGCAATATTAAGAAATATTTAGCCTTCAGAAACTGGGGCTGGTGGATATTATTTACTAAAATTAAACCATTGTTAAGTGTTGCAAGACAAGAAGAAGAGTTGAAGAAGATGGAAGAAGAATTTACAGCATTAAAAGAAAATTTAGCTAAAGAAGAAAAGTTAAGAAAAGAAATGGAAGATAATACTGCTAAATTAATCAAAGGTAAGTGAGTTGTCCCTCCATGCTTTCTTCATTCTAATTGAGTTGTTCTACAATAGAGAAAAATGATTTATATCAACAATTGGAATCACAACGTAATTCATCATCAGATGTTGAAGAAAAACTAACGCGTTTAGTAACACAAAAAGCTGATTTAGAACAACAAGTTAAAGATTTAGAAGAAAGATTTGGTGAAGAAGAAAAATCAGCACAAGAACTGACCAATAAAAGAAAAAAATTAGAAAATGATATTGATAATTTAAAAAAAGATATTGATGATTTAAGATTAAATCTTCAAAAATCAGAAAGTGAACTTAAAGCAAGAGAAAGCAAAATAAATCTGTTACAGGATGAAATGTCAGCACAAGATGAATCATTAGCTAAATTAACGAGAGAGAAAAAGCGATTGGTAAGTGACGACCCACAGCCAAACGAACCATGCGTAGGACAGAAAAATGTTCTTGACCAAAAGTAGTTGGTCTCGATTCGAGAAGAAAGTTGTTTTATGATTCCGCTTGTGTTGACAATGGAATCAACTCGCCGACGTCTAATAGAGATTAGAATTCTTTTCTGACTGGACCATTATAGTGATTTATATCTGATTATTCATTTTTATCGCTTTCGCAACCGGAACCCAATATCCTCGATCTCGTTTATCTAAGACAAATGTCTTTCTTCATAGGAAGAACAAAATACTAAGACTACTGAACAATTACAAGCTGAAGAAGATAAAGTCAATCATCTGAATAAATTAAAAACAAAACTTGAGCAAACATTAGATGAACTAGAAGATTCATTAGAACGTGAGAAGAAAGCACGTGCTGATTTAGATAAATCAAAACGAAAATTAGAAACAGATTTAAAAACAACTCAGGGAAGTTTAGAAGAAATGGAAAGAGCTCGACGTGAACTAGAAGAAAATTTAAAACGAAAAGATAAAGAAATGCAAACAATAGGAAGTAAATTAGAAGATGAACAAGGTGAGAATATTTCTCTTAGATATATTTGATTTATACTCGATTGTTTCGACATAGGCCAAGCTTCGGGTCTACAAAAGAAGATTAAAGAATTACATGCAAGAATTCAAGAATTAGAGGAAGAAATGGAAAATGAGCGACAAGCAAAAGCAAAAACCGAGAAACAACGAGCAGATTTGGCAAGAGAAATTGATGAAATGAATGATAGATTAGGTAAGTGACAGTACAGACAAGAACAGGAGCGACATTGAATTTTTTTCGACTGAGACAGTTGAAAAAATGGCAATTCTTAGGCCTTTTTTCTGACCATTTTCAGCTTCTTCTCTTTCGTAAGCGGGACTAAAAGTTTCAAACTTTGACCGAAACTTAAGCTAAAACGTTTCTGATCATAAACGAACCCAAAAAATGTCGATACTATCCATGTCCTTTGACTCGGAGAAAATGATAATCAAGTGTTTGTTCAGAGGAAGCTGGTGGTGCAACAACATCTCAAGTTGAAATGAACAAAAAACGTGAGGGTGAATTGGCTAAATTGAGACGAGATCTGGAAGAGGCCAATCTTCAACATGAAGCAACAGCAGCTCAATTGAGAAAGAAACATCAAGATGCAGTGAATGAAATGGGTGAACAAAGTGAGTTATAAAATCTTTCTTTGTTCGAGAATTATTATATTCTTTTTTCTCCAGTTGATCAATTACAAAAATTAAAAAATAAATTAGAAAAAGAGAAGCAAGGTGTTAAATCAGAGCTGGATGATTTACGTACACAAGTTGAACATGTAACGAAAGGAAAAGTAGCTGCTGAAAAATTAGCAAAACAATTGGAACAACAGTTGACAGATCTTCAAACGAAATTAGACGAAAATACTAGACAAATTAGTGATTTTACTCATCATAAAGCAAAATTTCAAACAGAGAATGCAGATCTTATTAAACAATTAGAAGATGTTGAACATCAAGTAGCTTCATTAACTAAAGCTAAAACACAATATCAACAGCAAGCTGATGACGCTAAACGACAATTAGAAGATGAATTAAGATCAAAAAATGCATTCAGTTAGTATACGATAGAGAAATAAAAGAAAGTTGACTTTGATTGTTTCACTTTTAGCTTCACAACTGAGAAATTTAACGGCTGATTTGGATCAAGCACGTGAACAACTTGACGACGAACAAGTGGCTAAAGCTGAATTACAGAAACAATTAACAAGATTAAATTCAGAAAATCAACAACTGAAAGCAAGATTTGAAGGAGAAGGTATAAAAAGAGAAAGGAGGAAATATAAAATATTTATGTGACTAATTTCAAAGGTATGTCGAGAAGTGAAGAATTGGAAGAAGCCAAACGAAAATTAGCGGCGAAATTAGCTGAAGCTGAAGAACAAGTCGAAGGTGCTCTGACAAAATGTAATGCCTTGGAAAAAGTAAAAGCCCGTTTACAAGGTGAAGTTGAAGATCTGATGGTAGATGTTGAACGAGCCAATTCAAGTAAGTTGATTGGTGATAAAGAGAAGTAATATTTTATTCAAAGATACGACAAATTCACCTAGAACAGTCGAGAAACACGAATTTGGAACTTTCTAAAACAAGCAAAAACTTCATGCTCTTTCTTCGAAATTCTCTTAAAATCAGCGCTAACATCGAAAAAGACATTTCGGACTTTTTTTGAAAGACAACAATTTCAACTCTCTCACTAACAACAAAAATTAACAATCCTAATTTTCCATCGAACTTTATCAAAAAAACCTTATTTTTTTTTCTAAATTTTTCACGATAATTACAAAGACAATGTTTACAACGGAACTTTAACGATAAAATATTACAGTACGGACGTCCGAAAAGATAAAAAATAAAAATTCATGTATTAATTGAGTTGAACTAATTGTTTTTTCAAAAATAAAGAGAATCTATTAGCGCACTAATCTCACAGGCCTCATCAGATACATGCAGAAAAATCAGATTTCTCAAGCCACTTTTGTTAAGTAATCTCCGAATGAAAATTCACTTTTATCAACTATTTTAAAACTTTCTCAAGTATCAAGGATTATGTTATGTTCTATGATTTCTACTACTAAAAGATCGAATTAAATTGACGTATTTTCTCAAAACATTTCCTTCTCTCCTAGATGCTACAGCCATGGATAAAAGACAAAAACAATTTGACAAATTGATCAATGAATGGAAACAGAAGTGTCAAGATATCACTGTTGAATTAGAAGCATCTCAAAAAGAAGCACGACAATATTCCACGGAATTGTTTAAATTAAAAGCGCAATATGAAGAATCACATGAACAAATTGAAGCGCTTCGAAAGGAGAATAAAAATTTAGCCGATGAAATTAAAGATTTAATTGATCAATTGGGTGAAGGTGGAAAATCAACACATGAATTGGATAAACAACGAAAACGTTTAGAAATGGAAAAAGAAGAATTGCAATCAGCTTTAGAAGAAGCTGAATCAGCTTTAGAACAAGAAGAAGCTAAAGTTTTACGTGCACAAATGGAATTATCGACAGTCAGACAAGATATTGATCGCCGATTACACGAAAAAGAACAAGAATTTGAAAATACTCGACGTAATCATCAACGAGCACTTGAATCAATGCAAGCCAGTCTTGAGGCTGAAACAAGAACAAAAGCTGAAAGTTTTAAACAAAAGAAAAAATTAGAATCAGATATAAATGAAATAGAAATTGCTTTGGATCATTCAAACAGAACAAATGCTGAGTTACAAAAATCAGTTAAAAAGGTTCAAGAGCAATTAAATGAATTACAAGCACAAGTTGAAGAAGAACAGAGACAGAGAGATGAAGCTAGAGACATAGCAATGGTAGCAGAAAGACGAGCTAATGCAATTATTGGTGAAGCAGAAGAGTTGAGAACTGCATTGGAACAAGCTGAAAGATCACGAAAAATGGCTGAAAATGAATTACATGAAGCAGCTGACAGAATCTCCGATTTAAGTAGTCAGAATGCTAATTTATCATCACAACGACGACAACTCGAGTCAACAGCTGCGGCAATGCAAGCTGATTTAGATGAAGCAGTAGCTGAATTGAAAAACAGTGAAGAACGATCGAAGAAGGAAGGTGAGTAGGGAATCTGTCTTCTTGTTTGCAAAACACCAAAAAGGTTTTCAGTCATTAAATAACTGATTTTTCTATTATAAGATGAAGAAATTCGAGTAATTAAATAAATTTTCAATTTTAGGTGCTGATTCAAGTCGCTTAGCTGGAGAGCTTCGTCAGGAACAAGAACATAGTATGCATATTGAACTTTTGCGTAAAGGTCTTGAACAACAAGTAAAAGATCTTCAAGCCCGAATAAACGAGGCTGAAAGTAATTCACTGAAAGGTGGAAAACGTATCATATCAAAACTGGAACAACGCGTACGTTTTTTCTTCTTTTCTTTTATAGTTTGCTCTTATGTCTCAATTTCTTCTTCTTCAGATTCACGAAGTTGAAAGTGAATTAGAAATAGAACAACATCGTCAACAAGAAACATTAAAAGAACTACGTAAAAGTGATCAACGTTTGAAAGAATTAACATTTGGTGCAGAAGACGAAAGAAAAAATCATCACCGTTTAAATGACTTAAATGAAAAATTACAACAGAAATTAAAAGTTTATAAAAGACAAGTTGAAGAAGCCGAAGAAATAGCTGCGTTAAATTTAGCCAAATATCGCAAAGTACAAACTGAATTAGGTAACTCGTTTTAGATCTCACTCCTATCCATTTCAATGAACAGTGCACTCGGTTGTAAGTTGAATAACTCCAGAACGAAAGCAGCTGGAGACTTGCGGTTTTCAGCATTCGAAAGAGAGTCATATTTTTTATATGGAAATGTCAAATCTGATTGGTCAAAATTAAGAGAATTCTTGATGAACATTTTAAAAACAATATCCCGAAGGCATTTACCATTGGATTTAGGGTTTTTGTTCAAGAGTTATAAGCGTTTTGCCGACAGGCCCAAAGGGTATTTTCAGTGATTTTCGGGATTTTTCGATCTTTCATCGAAGTCACATCGCCGAACTAAGTGTATATTCGGAATCAGCATACAAGACTGTGTGGAGTGACATATCATTTGATGACTTTCATTTTTTTTCATTTTTGTCACTAAACTATCATATCGCTCTGTGGATCCTGGCATGTACATGGTGAAAAAATGAAAGTCATGAAATGACATGTCACTCCACGC